TGGCCATAAGTGCTACAAAATCAGCAAGGATTAAATTTATTAACAGCAGAGAGAGGTGGTCTTTGTCTCTTCCTCAGAGAAGAATGTTGCTTCTGTGTTAGTCAGACCTGAAAACTCCAGAGAAATCTCCAAGAAACAGCTCAATGCCTCTGGCCAGTGGTTCACTGACAAGTCTAATACGGAATTGGATACTACCCTTCGTAATCCCCTTTCTCCTCCTTTTCTTAATCCTACTCGTTGAACCCTGCCTTATAAACATCTTTCTAGATTTTTTTCAACAATAGATTCAAAACATTTATAATCAGACTTGTAATCAGTCACTACCCTCGGATTACTGGTTCCAGCTAGAGTGAGAGTCCAGCAACTCCAATTACACCCAATGGTGAAGATTAAGTCTACCCACAGGACTTCAGTGACCTATCCAATGGCAGTAGTCTATGATGACCCTATCCAATGACAGTAGTCTATGATAACATCACTCCTCTTTCCAGTAACCTGACTGTTTATCAATAACAAACAAAAAAGAGGGGGGAACATATTAAGATCAATCCGTGTGAGTCAATTTAATGGATAATAGAGATTTATTAAGATATAAATTGAGAAAATACACTCACGAATACAGAACAGAGTAAACAGCTGAAGTCATCCTCTGTTCTTTCTTGTGCCAAAGCACCTGGCCCTCTGTTCACAGGAAGAAAGAAACACGTGATGCCTCTCTCTTCTCCTTAAAGAGGTCATGAACAAAGGCAAGAAGCACCATCTCCTTCCCACTCTTTAGCCCAAGGTCATAGGCTGAGCAAATACCACTACAGGACTGTAAGCCATTTGAGACACTGACCCCTCCCTGAGGACCTCCAACTGCCAGGCTCCATCCACCTCAGAACACTCTAATTGTCCTAATGGCTGCACCCAACCCCCACCCTACAGAGTAAAAAGCCCAAGCTCTGGACATGAAATCTCACCAATACACCTTGGAAAGGTTCACCCTGAAAAGGTCCACCCCCCACACCAACCCCCCGCCCCAAAGGAACTCTATATAAGTCCTGACTTCTGTCAGTTCTCTACTTTTTTTTTTTTTCCTGCCCTAGCAGAGGCAGCCACCCTCCTGGGTTCTTCCCTCCCAATACATCTCTCTGGAAGGTTTGTTACATGCTATGATTTTGTGGTATTCTTTGGTGCCCAATTGCCAGGATACCTTTCCATCTGAGACATAATGCTTACATTCTTCATCATTATAAGCTGACTGTTTTACTATTCTGGGCTCTTTCTAATCTCTATCTCTGGCTAGTTAGTATCACTTCTTCTCATACATAGCCCGGGCCATGTCTATGCTGCTGACCATGTTCAGTCTACTCTCTCCTCCCTCTCCTCTCCTCTCCTCTCCTCTCCTCTCCTCTCCTCTCCTCTCCCCTCCTCTCCTCCTCTCCCCTCCCCTCTCCTCTCCTCTCCTCCTCCCTCTCTCCCCCTCCCTCCCCCTCTCCCCCCCTCCCCCTCTTCCCCCTCTCTCCCCCTCCTCTCCTCTCCTCTCCCCCTCCTCTCCCCTCCCCTCCCCTCTCCTCTCCTCCCTCTCTCCCCCTCCCTCTCCCTCTCCTCTCCCCTCTCCTCTCCTCTCTCCTCTCCCCCTCCTCCCCCCCTCCCCCTCCCCCTCCCCCCTCCCCCTCCCCCTCCCCTCCCCTCCCCTCCCCTCCCCTCCTCTTCTTTTCTCTCTGCTTTGGATTCTGGAAGATGCCTCTGAATATTTTCTCTTATGAATAAAAAGAAACAAACAAACAAAAAACCACTTTTCCCTTCACCACACTGCAGAGCAGTTATGTTAGCAGTTTCTTTACTGCTCCTCTCTTGCTTATACCTGGGGTGAAACACTCATATATATCCCACGTTTCTGCACCAGATACATGTGAGGGGGTACAGAGAAAAAAAAAAAACCAAAAAAAAACTACCAACTTTACTGCTCTACAACATGGTTATGGTTTTTATTGTAGATATGAGAGAGAGAACAGCCAGAGGCATCTGGAAGAATTTACTATATATAGCAGGCTAATCTTTATGGCAATCCTTTACCTCAACCTCTTATGTATAGGGATCATAGGAGTAATCTGCTCTATGCTGCCTCTTAAGCCAGATTCTAAATTCATACACTCCATCTGTGCTATTTCTTTATTACTACTATGCAGAAGAACACATATACTAAGTGTTCATGGAAGTAACTTTCAAACACAGACTATATTGAAATTATAAAAATTAGTTTAAAAACTTAAAATCTCAAGAGTTAGGCTTAACAACAAATTCTTGTTATAAAGCAATGACATAAAAGCACGTGCTACCTGAAAAAAGTAAATTAAAATAAGGCTGGGCTGGGTTCGACCTCATCTGGGCTTTGTTTCACTATAGCCTCCAGTCACTGATCTCTAAATATGGAGTTTATTATAGACATTAGTTATACAAAAGTACGGTATTGGTCATGGTTCTCTAGAGTCACAGAACTTAGAGAATAATCTCTCTCTCTCTCTCTCTATATATATATATATATATATACATATATATATATGTGATTTATTGGAATGATTTCTAGGCTGCAGTCCTGCTAATCCAACAATGGCTAGCTGTGAATGGAAAGTCCAAGAAACCTCAATCCCACAAACTGGAGGTCTCAGCTAGTCTTCTGTATATGCTGGAACCCCAAAGAACTAAGCTTCAATGACAGTGAAAGAATGGATGCGCTAGTAAGATGAGGGCAAGTGGGGAAAGAGCAAAAGCTTTCTTCTTCTGTGTTCTTATATGACTTCCAGAAGAAGGTATGGACCATATTAAAGATATGTCTTCCCACCTTAAGATTTAGATTAAAGGCATAAGTCTTCCTGACTCAATATCCAGATCAAAGGTGTGTATCTTTCTGTCTCAAACATTCTGACTAGAAGTTGATTTACCCACTTCAAATCAAGCAGATAATCTCTCACAGGTGTGCCCTCCATTTCTGGATTGTAGTTCATTCCAGATAGTCAAGCTGACAACCAGGAATAGCCATCACAAGTACTGAGTAGGAACTAGAGCTGTTTTGGAGAATACGGCATACATACAACTATACTTCCTGCATTTTCTTTCTTTTTGTGTTTATCATCCAGTGAGGATGTGCTGCTACTTGTCCTGCATGCCTTATATCCTCTTTAACTTCTCTAGCTACGTATAAAAAGCAAATACTATTATTATCTCTTATTTTATAGATGGGGAAAATGAAGTTTTGCTAATTTAAGTACTAATTTAAGTCACATATAGTGAGTAATTGGGGAACTGGAAAGTAAACCCAGATAGTCTGACTTTGGAGCTCTTGCTGTCATTAACTACAATACTACAGCCTTTTTGAGGATGTGTTTGTTAAGACATAAATGATGAGAAGGTAAATCATTGGTGGGGGGAAATATATAAAGCCCTCAGGTGAAAAACAAAGCCTTCAGTTTTAGAAAATTACAGGTGGCTAGTACAGTTCCCAGGAGACAGAGATGCACAAAGCAGGTAAAGGAACCACTAACTTCAAACATGGCAGTGTTTTGATGTTATTTCCGTTCTTAGAATATATTTCTAGCTCATATGTGACAGATAAGTTGAAGGAAGGTTATTTGTTAGAATATTTACAGAGAAGCTATTATTGTAGAAGGCACTATTCTAAAAATGCATGACAACAAATAGCTAGAAGTTTTAATATTAAGCTGCATCTCTAGCTCAGGGACATGGCTAAAAGCAATACTATCCACCACTCTGGAGTGACTGCCAGAATGGTGATCAGACCTCTTGCTCTCTGGCACACACACAATTTTTCCTTCTCTGCTAGACACTTTCTATAGCATGCAAATTCTAGAACTCTTCATCTTTAAATACACACCAAAACAAACAAAATATCTCCACCCCTTGACTTCTTATTCTCCTATAACCACCTCTGTATTTTTCTTCTCCTTATCAAGGAAAACATGTTTGACAATACTCTTTGGTTCATCATGAACCTAGTCATGCTCTTCTTCTGCCTTACTCAAGCTGCCCTGGCACGTGTCATCACACTAATCATTAAACACACGGGGAAGGAGACACTGTAACAGGATGCTTAATTACATAAGATGTAAAGCAGAAACCTGAATTATTATATTTACTGATATGGGCATTAATACTTGCTTACTTTATTCATCCTCACTTTGTTTACTGTAGCTTTTTATGTGTGCTGCAGACACCCTGTCACATTGTGAACTCTCTGCAATCTTCAAATCTTAAATAGCACCTCACTCACGCTTTTAACAGGCAAGACGTTATATCAAGATAGTATTGTCTGTATGTAAGCACATACTCAAAAATTCCAAGTACCCGCATAAGACTCGAGGGGGCATGTCATATCACAAAAATGTTAATGGGAACAAATAAGGATCAGACTAAAGCCATCTTAAGGAGTACAGAACTGGCGGGCAGTGGTTGTATATATTAGATTACTGCCGGCCTTTCCAGATCCTTCCTGGCAGCCTTAAGAAGGGGACAGGCTAAAAAGTGCGGAATCTATATTCATCCGCAGAAACCAACTTTTCCCTGGACTCTAACTCGGCCAAGACTTTGCTCAAGTGGATGTTCACAGAAGAGCCGCCAACATCCATCTACAATAGCAACCAAGTACACAGAAATGCACTGGTGTGACTTTGCCGAAGTCTGAGAACAGCATGGGGCCTAAAGGTGCGCGGAAGCCGTGCCTTGAACCCTTGCAGGGCTCGGCTGAACATAGAAGGCCCTTTACCGAGACGGCTCGGGGTAAGCAGGGAGGTACAGGGAGGGTAGTTCTGCAAATGGCAGGGAAGAGTCACCTCCGTGCCGCCGTGATGATGCACAACTCCGGTGGCAGCAGGCTCCTCACTGCGGACCCTCCCTCTCCAAAGAGCCCACGGGCTGCACGGAAGCCAAGGGTCACAAGCGCCTTGCCCTCGGCAGAAGACTCTACTGCCTTCTTCCCTCAGACCCCGTAGCTCACCCACCTGCAACTGCAGTGCGCGAAGTCTCCACCCAGGTCCACCTGCAGAGCTCCGGCTGCGGTTGGCTTGTGCGACTGTCCCGTTAGCGCTTCCTCCACTGTGAGTGGCCTAACGGTTCTGAGAAACCGTAGTCCCGCCCTTTCCGAGGCTCCAGAGCCATGGTCACAAGACGTCACCCAGTGCCGCAGAGCTCTGACTCTCTCCACTTTCTCCCCCAGCAGCCCTATCCTCCTCTGGGTTGGGGGCGGGGCATCACCATGCCACGCCTCCCGCGCAACCGTGTAGGGGTGGAGTCTGTTCTACGTCACAAGCAGACGCCCGACTTCTTTGTGCCGACGCTTGAAAGGGGGTGGAGCCCAGTTCGCGCAGACTCTCGGGGAAGGGGGCGTGGCTACGGTCGGGCCTGCCTGAAGAGCTGCGGTCTGTTTGAGGCGCATGGTGTTCCCGGCTAAGAGACTGTGTATGGTGCCGTCCATGGAGGGCGTTCGCTGGGCCTTCTCCTGCGGCACCTGGCTGCCGAGTCGAGCCGAATGGCTGCTGGCGGTGCGGTCGATCCAGCCTGAGGAGAAGGAGCGCATCGGCCAGTTCGTGTTTGCCCGCGACGCCAAGGCGGCCATGGTACTCACGGCCTGCGGCTTTCGGGAGGCGGGCTGGGCGGCGGAGCACCACACGCGCCTGCGGCGTGGCGGCACGGAGTCGCCGGCCCGGTTGGGGTTCTGGCGTGCCCTACCTGCTTCCGCCTTTGTATCCTCTAAGGCCTGGGGCTCTCACAACTAGCCCCTCCCCGGTGAGGTTGCCTATAGAGGCTCTTTCACCTAAAACTGGAGGCAGGGCCTGTGTAGAAATCGTTTGTTTAGTAACGAATATGCTTTAAAAGTTAAAAGTTTGGACGTTACAAAATATACTTTGTAAGCAGTGTGTTTATGCGAATAGTATGTACTGTATGTTTTGTGTGTCTTAACAGGCTGGTCGTCTGATGATAAGGAAATTAGTTGCAGAGAAATTGAATATCCCTTGGGATCATATTCGTCTGCAAAGAACTTCAAAAGGAAAGCCGGTTCTTGCAAAAGACTCATTGAATCCCTATCCCAATTTCAACTTTAACATCTCTCATCAAGGAGACTATGCAGTTCTTGCTGCAGAACCTGAGCTACAAGTTGGCATTGATATAATGAAGACTAGTTTTCCAGGTAATGGTTCATTTTTATGATTAGTAGTTAAGTGTGTTATGTCTCAGATCTTAACTATTAGACAGTTGTAGACCAGGAGACTTAAAAATATAGACACTTGCCATACTTAATTTACCTGACAAAGCATCTAACTGAAAAGAATGTATTTCCTTTAACATTAACCCTTATCTACAGATAGTTACTGCACTGTTTTAATCTCCTTAGCTACAGTTTCTCTATAGATAGGCACATAAATTTTTCTTGGTATTTTTTCTTTTTTTGCTGTTGCAGAATACCCGAGGCTGATTAGGCTCATTGTTCTGGCCTTGCAATACTTTTGTATTGGCAATTAAATTTCAACATGAATTTTGAAGGTAACAAACATTATTGAAACACAGCTCCAAGAATATGACCTGGTATTATAGAAGGCTTACTCTAAAATAACTGCTACTGCAGAGGAGTCAGGATGATAGTAGGGAATAGGCCACATGGGTTTATAGCTCTGAGGAATCTTAACAGGAGCTTTTCATGTAACTAGAAGTAAGTAGAGAGGCCGTTGACACTTAGAAGAAAGACAACATGACTAGACAGTGTCTGCCTGGAAATAAACAAATTTTATAACCAGCAGTGTTGACTGTGGTCAATACTGAATAAGCCATTACTGATTGAAGTTTTTAATGGTGGCAAGGTGGTTGAGTGGAAATTGAAGATTCTGTTTCTTGTTATTGCTTTATTAAATCTTTTGACCCCCCTCCCCCAGCAATTTTGATTAAAGCCTTTTCCTTCCCTTTTATAGTTTCATTGACTCAAAGCTTATATGCCCACAAAGGAAGAGTTACATTTAGTTGGGACTAGTATCACCATCTCACTAATTTTCCAGTTGTGACTGGATGCATCATCTTCTCTTAGTGAAGATTAGAAATAGACACCAGTTTGCTTCACTGGCAATTTATTAGACCAAGATAAGTGAAGCAGTTGATCAAGGAATGTTCTTCAGTCTTGATGAAAGATGGAAGGTGTAGTGTTGGATAGAAGGGGGAAACTACTCTGTACCAAGCATTGTTAACTCTTCAGACATGGTCGCCTTCGAGGAGTGCCATTATCATATTGGAAGAGACAATTATCTTATCCACAACTTGTGTCCATAAGAAATATCAGGTAGGAATGTGGGGAATCATTTTCCTTATTACCTGTGTTGGCTAAGTACAGCTCATTTCCTAAATAGATTGTGGCTTGGGATCCTAGCACAAGTTGCTGATATTGTAAATTCCTAATGCTTGGGGGAGAATGTTGTTTTCCTGATCACAGTTTGTCCTTCATTTCCTAATTTTCATTTACTATTAAAGATGTTGAGTTTCAGATGTAAAGAAGATAGTTTTATGAGTTAACAGTATTTGGAAAATAAGCATGATCAGTATAAAAATTAATATTTAAGTTGGGGAAGAAGTAAGCATTCTATTTGCATGGTTTTCATTTTCATGTATGTATTTCTATTAAAATATTTTGGATGTTAATTGGCACAATAAAAATAACTTAAAAGTATTTTGAGAAGCAATTCTAATTTTAATTAATTCAAGTAATTTAAAATGACTTGCTAGTTTTACTGACACACATCTGTATTCCTAGCACTCTGTGGGTAGAATCAGACCAATCATGAGTTCAAGTCTATCCTGAACTAAATTGCAAGACCTTTACTGACACACACCCCAAAATAGACTTTGTTATGGAATTGATCTCTAAAGGAGCTATTGCATTATAAGTATAAATTAAGTGTAGTTGGTATAAACTACGCCTGGATATTACTAAAGAGTCACAGAGCCTGTTTCTTGTCTCCTGCCACACCCTTTTTTCTTTGGTATTGTTACACCTTCCTAAAGGTTCTCCAGATGCTGAGTGATCTTTTTGAGATATGGACACCAGTTTTAAAATTGTGAAATAATTTCTCATTACACATATATAATAGAATTCAAACTCCTGACCATAACCCTATTATCTTGTTCTTTTCTGCTTTCTATTCTCAGGCATCTACTGTTTATCATTTCTTTTTAGCTCTTTTCTTGTTTTAGCTCTTGATCATTGTTTTCTGTCCACACTGGTCTTTTATTGTCTTCAGTTTGACCTTGCTTAACTCTTTATTAACACCACCCTCCCTGAATAACTTCTATAGTCTTTGAGAGGAATGAATGCTTTTATTGTTTTAGTTTTTGTATGTGTGCTCGCGGTGCCAATAATATGTATGGAAGCCAGACGACAACCCACAGCAGATGTTATTCTTGGAAATGCCAACTATCTCCTTGAAACAGACTCTTTTAAACCTGTAGCTCATCAATTAAACTAGATTGGTTAGCCAATGTGAGCCTTAGGGTTCCTCCTCCTCAACGCTGGTATTCCAGGCTATATAGCCACACTTAGCATTTTCACGTGGATTCTAATGACTGAACTCAGTTTTACATGTTTTCATGGCATGCACTTTACCAATTCAGCTTTCTTCACAGCTGAATGGTGAGTTTTAACTGAGATGCTATTATAATACATGAGTACTGGAGTTTGTTTTAGAATGATGTAGTTGGGCTTTGAGGTTCTAGTATTAGAGTGTTTTTTTCATATGCCTAGAATAGTAGCTAAGGGTTGTGGATGATTTTTGTTTGGGGTTATTATGTTTAAAACAAACTTTGCAAGTTGTGTGATCTTGATTTTTTAGAACAAATTAGTAACTGACATTCTTTAATAACTAAACTCTTAAGAAGGATCAAGTTTTTCTAAACGTAACTAGTAGTTCATGTATTTTCTAGTCTTTCACCTTTCCTACATATGTATACCTATGTTCTTAATATTTAGTAGGATGATTAAATAGATTGTAGTAGACATCAGTATATACAAGTAGTTTTAAGAATTTGCCTGTGTGCATGCCTAGTAATTATGCTGATATTTTGAGGGATGAATTTGTTTTTCTACTAGGATTTTCTAAAAGCTTTTCTTCTAATTTCCTGTGTAAAGTGGAATAAAATAGAGTATTTGGCTAGAGTGCCTTCCCCCATAAAACCACAGGGTGGTGCTGTTGTCATTCAGTTGAATATTTATGGCATTTCCCCATTGCTATTTATTTTGTGCTTTAATGTATAGGAAAGAGTACTCATTAGTATTTTTTCAGCCATAAGTAATGAATTATATGATTGCTTGACTGCCTTTTATGTTAATTGTTTTTTTATAAATATACTATTTTTTTCTTTGATTACCTTATACTTAGGTAAAAATTGAGTTCTTGTAGGTTATAAGTAGAAAAGAACAGCAACAAAAAAAAACAGACAAAATGACACAGTAGGTAAAAACAGGTTCATCTTAAATTTGAGTTTTATTACTCCTTTAAATCTACAGTTTCATACAAAGTATGAAATATTCCAAATCCAAGTTAAAATGTTCCTCCTCTTGATTTTATATATGCTACTTATGCCAGAGTCCATTCAAAAACCACAGTTTATCTTTTGACTTTTGTGGGTGTTGGTGGTATGGGTGTGTGAATTTGGAGGCCAGAGGTTGCCATCAGGTCTGTTCTTCTGTCACTTTCCACCTACCTTAATGTTTTTTGACGTAGTCTCTCAATAAACCCGGATACTGGTTAGTGAACTCCTGGGATCAGCTTCTCTTCCCACCCCTACCCTGACAAGTCCCCTTGCAGACACTGGCCGCTGCTATACCTGCCTGCTTTTACAGTGGCTGAGGATCTAAGCTCAGGTCCCTATGCTGGCTCAGCAAGCTACCCATCGAGCCATCTCCTCAGCTCCTTAACTTTTTAAAAGGCTTTCTCTGGGGTGTTATTTATCAAGCTAGTACATGCCAGAAACAGTAAATGAAAGAGTTTTTATTGAAATGCTCCACTAATTCTCAGTAAATTGAAAATGAGCTTTAGATCACTGAAACAATTCATCCATGTCCCCAAATGGTAATATTCTCTTGTTATAGGACTCCTAAGATCACATTATAATATACTTGAAAATGAATGAGAATTGTTGTTGCAATCTCAAGTACCACATATTTCTGGGATAAGCAAAAAGAACCTATTTTGAAGACTTGACTTATGGAAGTGGAA